AAAAAGGGGCGGTTCCTTATGTTGAGACTGAGAATGATAGTTGCTCACTCATCTTTACCTCGACCAGGTTTGCTAGTTACCCAACCCAAGATGGGTTTTTGATTCCTTGCATCATACCATTTCCCTCCTCCAATCACTGTCCCCATCACCATAGCACCATTCGTTTTTTCGATTATAATTTTGCTTTAATGCCCTCCGTTACCAGTCACATTGACGGGAACATTCGGAAACAGCTGAACGACCACTGCCGGAATATGCTGTCTTATAAATCCTAAACGACACGAAAGCTTGTCTGAAAGCACAACTTCACCAGCAGGCGACGACGATCACTGTGACTGCTCCCTCCAACTTCTCGTCGAAACAATAAGTTGGCCGATACGATTACGCCTCGGGTATCATGGCAACCACATACATATCGCATGGATTAATCAGTGTCTCAATGGGGGCTTCGCCTACATACTGCACTACGTCTTTTCTACTGTCTCACCCATATCTCTTCCACACGTGCCACACCCACCATATACCAACGATCTCTTGGCTCTGCTATTCTGAGATCTGCACTCAAAGTACTAACAGGAATAACTGAATCATGGTTAAGAAGTATCAATGGCTTCGCTTATGTAGATACCTTTGGATGCTGTCCGCTTTTTCTTATGCCACTCGCATAAGATATCGATCCCTGTGTGATAATTTGGGAAGCGCCATGAACATTCATATATTTGAAATAGTGAAGGTGATTTGAAAGGAATAGAGCGGAAATCACTCCTACTTTGAAAGGTTTGTCTTATCCCAGTAATTCGCCTCACGCTCTAGGAGATCCCTTTCCTCACCTGTCAGTCTTCTTCCACCTTGGGAATTCGGAACATCACTCGATTCTGGATTTCACAAAGTTCTCCACAAATTACACCTCTCCTTATCTACTTCGGATCCTTCAGCTGTCTCCCATCTGGGTGCATTACTGTGGTCAGGGGTTCTTGATGTGGGATTTCAGCGTTCTTGTTGGACAGAAGCAGTCTGCATGGCCAAATTCTGACTTAGAATCTGAGAATTCAGGCTAGATATCAGAATTCGACAGATCCTGAACCTCAATTAATGCTGTCGCTCAGAATTAGGGAACCTATTCAGCATTAAAGGGGGATCATTTCATTTAAAAATCGGCTAGATAAATTATGGGTAAAATTGGGTAGATATGGCGGAATAAAGGCAATCAATGTAATGTTCAAGAATTTTTTGCCTCTTTCCATAAAAAGCGAACCATTCCTAACTGGTAAGAATTAGGGTCCCTGACTTGTTTGGATCTCTTTTTCAATCACTATGTTCCATCGTGCAGGAAAAGCACTTGCATGGCTCATTCTCTGTCGCTTTTCGGTCTATTTGAACATGGGTTGCTCTCTGCTACTGTTTCCTACTGAATTATTTGTTACAAGTATGTTTTGCCATTGATTCCATTTCGGAAGAGGTAATGCAGTGACTAAGAAACTGAGGGTGCAAAGTCGACTTGGAAGAAATAAATTCATGATTTTTAATTGAATTTTGGATGAACTTCTTCTCAGGAGTCAGTCGTTTCAGAGCTTTTCCAAGAAGGGGATTGTGCTAACTCGTAGGATCTCAGAAGGGATTGCATTCATATGCATCGCCATACGCTTCCGTGATTTTAGATGGTAGTCATAGGCACGGCGCAATCTTCCCTTTTTGGCTTCGATACTGGTCGAAACCAGATATTTTCTACATTTTTTACTCATGGCTGAATTCTCATGGTCTATTGCTTCCTCTCTTCTCTCTCTTCCATTTCCTTCTTTGCTTTTCTCTCCCTAAACATTCTTCCTTCTCTCTTTCTCTCTCTCTCTACTCCATTGTTTTCTCTCCTTCTCGGCCTCCTTCCGGTTTCTGCTTATTCTCTTTTCCTTCCTTTCATTTGCCTCCATCCATTTTACGTTCCCATCATCCAAATTCCTTCCCTGCCCACCCCTTCCCCAGCGGAGGCCGAAACCTGCCAGCCCCTTCCACTTTCCCATCTCAATGTTTCCACTCTGCTTATCCTCTTTATTTCAGACATAATTTTTACTTTTCTTGGACCGCTTCTTTCTCTCTTGATACTATTGGGATGAGCCATGCATAATGCATGCACCCAAGTTTGGAAAGATGATCATGAACATGAAAATATCAGCTACATATATATCCTGCTGCTTGGCTTGACTGAGTTTGACTTGATTTAGCTTCATCACTTGCTTTCATTTATTTGTTTACACTACCTTAATTAATTAATGTTCCAAGTTTTTCTAAGATCTTAATTTTTTCTGACTACTTCCTTTCCATGAGTAAAATCAAGTAACATAGCCTGACCTACTCACGTTCTGGCACTTTTGTCAACAAATTCTTTCATTTTCATCCTTCCCTAGCCAATTGACTCGTCATCTTCACCTTTGATTGACGTAAAACCTAACCTTTATGTGCTACATGTGTTGTATACTAACTTTGTCCCAATGATTGACGGCCTCCAGGGACATTCCAATGAATAACATTTCACTCACTATTTTAAGCCCACCTGGAACAATTCAAGGTATACTGTATCCTGTTTTGTGTAAACTTACGTCAGAATTGGCAGAATTCTATATAAAGCCATAAATCTTTGATTAAAATGGCAGAGATAAGAGGCGGAGCTACAGCTTGAGTTATGACTACTTTTTTTGTTAATATCTAATCTGCCATGAAGTGGAGGCGGAGGGTGAGTGCAAAGTCGTCCATCGAAGTGAGAAAATCGGGTTTGCTAACTGACTGGCCAGCTCTTTTTTCTCTGAAATGGTCGGGATTGAATTGTGTCGGGAAGAAAAAAGCAGAAAGGTGATAAACCTGTCAAAAGGCTTTTACCGTATGCCATTTGAATGGCTTAGTTCGCAGTTTTTGTATGAACGGGATGAATTAACGCAGTTTTTGTATGAACGGGATGAATTAAAAGCTTAACTAGCAGTGACATGATGTGGGGTACCAGGAAATTAAGGCTGAACGTTGCTCCGACGATATCGAAGCAAATAATAAATGGAGCAGCAGTGCTGCGCTCTCACAAATCGCTTTATTCAGAGCCGAAGTTGCGTCCCAATAAGTAATTCCTGTAATCGGATTCATATCTGTATGTGCCCCCGTTTGTTGGTGAAAGAACCATCAGGTAGCAATTAAGTTAGAGTCAAAGTTCTTGGCATCAATCAATCCCGTCTGAGGGATGCGCCCCCGCACACGACTTCCATTCAGAATCGTAGTGGCGTAATGAGTGCGTAT